AAACAAGGCCAGGAGTTGACTGTGGAACCGGATCATCAATTGCTCATATGCAAGTTCAAGTTGAAGCTGAAGACAACAAAAACAAGTCCAAGAGAGGCAAAATACAACATTGATTATGTCCCTCCTGAATTTAGAGACCATCTGAAGAATAGTTTTGACTCGCTGAGCACCAATGACTGAAAACTAGAGAAATTGTGGGATGACATCAAGGACATCATCCATGAAGAAAACAAAAGGTCATTAAAAAGACAGGAAAGGAAGAACAGATTAAAATGGATGCTCTTGAATGGAGAGTAGCTAAAGCAAATGGAAGAAATGACAAGATAAAAGAGCTAAATAGAAGATTTCAAAGAGCAGCTTGAGAAGACAAAGTCAATTATTATAATGAAATGTGCAAAAACCTGGAGTTAGAAAACCAAAAGGGAAGAATATGTTCTGCATTTCTCAAGCTGAAAGAACTAAAGAAAAAATTCAAGCCTCAAGTTGCAATATTTGAAAGGTTCTATGGGCAAAATATTGAATGATGCAGGAAGCATCAAAAGAAGATGGATGGACTACACAGAGCCACTGTACCAAAAAAAATTGGTTGATATTCATCTATTTCAGGAGGTGGCATATGATCAAGAACCAACGGTATTGAAGGACGAAGTTGAAGCTTTACTGAAGGAAGTGGAGAAAAACAAGGCTCCAGGAATTGACAGGTTACCCATTAGGATGTTTCAACAAACAAATGTCATGCTGGAGGCACTTACTCATCAATGCCAAGAAATCTGGAGGGCAGCTACCTGGCCAACTGATTGGAAAAGATCTATATCTGTACCCATTCCAAAGAAAGGTGATCCCACAGAATGTGGAACTTATCAAACAGTATTATTAATATCACATGTAAGGAAAATCTTGCTGAAGATAATTAAAAAACAGTTGCAGCAGTATATTGACAGAGAACTTCCAGAAATGCAAGCTGGATTCAGAAGAGGATGTGGAATGAGGGACATCATTGCTGATGGCTGAAGGATCTTGACTGAAAGCAGAGACTACTAGAAAGATGTTTACTTGTGTTTTATTGACTATGCAGAAGCATTTGACTGTGTGGATCATAGCAAATTATGGATAACATTGAAAAGAATAGGAGTTCTGGAACACTTAATTGTGCTCATGAAGAGCCTGTACATAGACTAGGAAGCTATTGTGTGAATAGAACAAGGGGCTAGAAAATGCATTATTTAACATCAGGAAAGGGGCATATCAGCGTTGTATCCTTTCACTATACTTATTCAATCTGTATGCTGAACATATAATCTGAGAAGCTGGACTATATGAAGAAGAGCATGGCATAGATTGGAGGAAGACTCATTAACAACCTGAGATATGCAGATGACACAACCTTGCTTGCAGAAGGTGAAGATGACTTGAAGCACTTACTGATGAAGATTAAAGACCTTGAATTACACCTCAACATAAAGAAAATGAAAATTTTCACAACTGGACTAATAAGTGGAATCACAATAACTGGAGAAAAGATTGAAGTTGTCAAAGATTTCATACTTGATTCCACTATCAACACCCATGGAAGCAGCAGTCAAGAAGTCAGACAACATATTGCACTGGGCAATTTTGTTGCAAAAGACCTCTTTAAAGTGCCGATGAGCAAAAATGTCTCTTTGAAGACTAAGGTGCTCCTAACCCAAGCCATGGTTCTCAATCACCTCATATGCATGTGAAAGCTGGACAGTGAGTAAGAAAGACCAAAGTAGAGTTCATGCTTTTGAGTTCAGTGTTGGTGAAGAATACTGAAAGTACAGTGGACTGCCAGAAGAACTAACAAATCTGTCTCGGATGAGGTGCAGCTGGAATGTTCCTTGGAAGCAAGAATGGCCAGGCTTTGCCTAACCTACTTTAGTCATGTTGTCAGAAGGGACCATTCCCTGGAGAAAGGATATCATGCTGGGTAAAGTGGAAGGTCAGCAAAAAAAGGGGAAGGTCCCCAAAGAGATGGATTGACATAGTGGCTGCAACAGTGGCCTAATTGTCTCTATGAGTCAGAGCCAACTCGACGACACTTAACAACAACAACATGTCCTCCAAGTTCATACACATTATGCGGTGTTTTGTAGATTCTACATTATTCTTTACAGTTACATTAGTATTCCATTGTGTGCATGTACCACAGTTTTTCTCAGTCCATTCCTTGGTTGGTAGGCACTTATGTGTGTGTCTGTATCTATTCGTGTCCTGCCTCTCATTTCTTTAGGATATGTACCTAGTAATGGGATTGCTAAAAGGAAATGAACACTTCTTGGAAACTATTTTCTTGATGCTACTTTTATTTTCACATACCTAAAAGCAGCTTATAATTTCACTGAATAAAAAATACAAACAAATAAACACACTTTATTGCACATAGAACTTCACATGAAATATTGCACATGATAGAATTGATTAGGGAAGGTACACATTGGTTATCACATAAGACTGGTATTATTCCAGGTTTGAACAATACAGAATTTTTCATAATAGAGATTTGTCCTACCATGTATTGCACATTTTCCAATGGTTTGATCTGTTTTACAAATAGTTTTCATGCTCTTTGTCTTTTCTCAGAAAAATACTGTCTGTAAAGTTTTCAAGGCAAAAACACATTTTACTGTTGGAAAAAGACCAATGTACAGTGAAGGATTAAAAACAAACAGACCAACAAAACTTAAACCAACAAAAAACATAATAAATACATGTTACTCTACTCTTTTGGGGAATAAAGTTGCAGAGTAACTTAACAAACTTCTCTAAAAAGAGAGAAATATTCCAAAGCTTAAGTTCATAGGCATTTATCCACTTTTAAATGGTGTCTGGGTTTAAAACATGCATTTTGACCTAATATCTGTGTTACCAATTAACATTCCTTTTGCTTACATTCAGCTTTTTTTTACTACCACCATCTTACTCCTTCATGAAATGCAAATGTATGAAGGATACTCACTGTCAGTAGTCGTTCAACAATAAATAATAACATTAAACCTAGTTTTTTTTTTTTTTTT